ATTAAGTTTAGAATTCTAAAGAGGACAAGAAAATCTTAAGTCTCACAGGACACTGGCTTCTCCCATTTGTTTTGAGGCTTATCGTTATTCCTTCAACAGAAGTTCAAGGAATGAGGGAAGGGAAGATGCCTTCAGAGTGGTAGGTACCCAGTTCTGCAATATTCTTCAGAGAGAGAATTAGGATTTCAATGCTTGGCCTTCCTGCCCAAATATTCCTTATGTTGATACATAGTTCCCTGTATGCTGCCAGTGTGCCACAAATATTTAGCTAACTGGGGGCAAGCTAATTAAAGAAATACTTTGAGAGCTTAAAAATTGTTTGGCTTCCTTTCAAGTTAGGTGGAGAAGGTGATACTGGAAAGCCATGTTCTCTCTCTCCATTTGTTTATGATGATTGTGAAAAATTGGAGATCTGCAATGTGGAATGGCCAAGTCTTGTATACCACTTGCTACCAGATTCAGTAAGGGACAGGATAGGATTCCTGTATTGTTTGCCCATGCATGTAAGAGAGAGGTCTGGCTAGTGACATTTTCCCAATCTCCAGAAAGGAAGAGACTAGTCAAGCCTCTTATAAGAATAACATGAGTTTAGAAATGGGAATAAAAAGAATGACCTTCCAAATGTTATACTGTAGTTGTGAACACTAGAATACGAACTCTAGGCTTGGGAATAAAGTCTGGATCCATTTCCATTGGAATTTGGGTTGCACCATGGGACTGAGATAGTTCTGGTCGCTCTGCTCTATGGAAGGCTGACCAGTGGAGTGTGACCTTGTTGGTCCTCCTGGATCTCTCAGTGGCCTTTGATCCCGTCAATCATGGCATCCTCCTGGCCAGGCAATCCATCTCAGGAACTGGGGGCTCAGTGCGACTCTGGCTCCAGTCCTGCCTTGATGGCTGTGTCCAAAGGCTTGGGGGTGTCGTTTCAACCTCATGGGTTCTTTGTTATGGAGTCACACAAGGGTCATTTCTCCAATGCTCTTTAACATCTCTATTAGGCTGCTGAGGGAGGTCTGAGGAAGATTTGGAGTTTGATGTCATGTATCTGTCCTTTTCATACAACTGTATCTGTCCTTTTCACCATCAGCAGTGCAAGCTTTCCAGACCCTGGGGTGTTGCTTGATCTTGATTATGGACTGAATGAATGCTAACAAGTTGAAGCTGCAAGACAGAGATCATGATGTAGGTTGATTATGGACTGAATGAATGCTAACAAGTTGAAGCTGCATTCTGCCAAGACAGAGATCATGTTGTAGGCTAGGAGGTATCTTGCCTGGTCTAGATGGAGTTACATTTCCCCTAGGATCAGGTCTGCAACCTGGGGATGCTTATGAACCTGGCTCTCTCGGTGTAAAAGCCACTTTCTGCCATGGTTAGGTCTGCCTTTCCCCATCTTTGGTGAATGAATGCTAACAAGTTGAAGCTGCATTCTGCCAAGACAGAGATCATGTTGTAGGCTAGGAGGTATCTTGCCTGGTCTAGATGGAGTTACATTTCCCCTAGGATCAGGTCTGCAACCTGGGGATGCTTATGAACCTGGCTCTCTCGGTGTAAAAGCCACTTTCTGCCATGGTTAGGTCTGCCTTTCCCCATCTTTGGCAGATGGCACAGTTGTGACCCCTCCTGACCACACTGGTCTCTGTGTTGGTCATCTCTAGGATCAATGATTGCAAGGCCTTTCACATGGAGCTGCCTTTGAAGGTGATACAGAAGCTACAGCAGGTGCAAAACATAGTGGCTCAGTTAGTGTTGGGTGCTTGGGGATTGGTCCTACCTCCCCGATCCTGGTGCACCTGCATGGACTCTACAGCAGGTGCAAAACATAGTGGCTCAGGGGATTGGTCCTACCTCCTGATCCTGGTGCACCTGCATGGACCTCCTAATTGCTTCCATGGCAAATTCAAAGTATCAGTAGAAACTTATAAAGCCCTTAATGCTTTGGAAACTTGCTATCTGCCAGAGTGTCTCTCCCTAAGATTGTTTACCTGGGACACCCAGGCTTCACAGTTATGGGTAGTCCCCCCAAGAGAGGCCTGGAAAACTACCACTAAGAACCAGGCCTTTTCAGTGGTGGCCCAACACAATGGAATACATTGCCTGTGGATGTACACCTGGCTCCCTCCCTGCTCTCCATCAGGAAACAAGTGAACTCTGAGCTCTTCATTGAGGGCTTTAGAAACCATCCCCCATAACATCCTCACTAAGCCATATGATTGTATTTGAATGTTGTTTGCTGTTGCCCTTGAGAGGGGTGTGTGTGTGTGTGTGTGTGTGTGTTTAATTTGGATGCTTTGTGTTTGTGAATTGGTATGTGTTTTCATTTGTTGTTAATAACCCAGAATAGTGGTGTGCTATTAGGTGGGTGGGTGAGTGGGAAGGAGGGAGGGACAGTCAGACAGACAGCTAGATAGCTAATTTGGTTGCTGGCCCAAATTGTCATCATGTCCAAATGTATTTTGTTTCTTAAACTTACAAAAAGAAAAGCCGAATTAAAAAGGGTGTTGCAAGTTAAGAATATCGCTGCCAAGTAAATACTGCACTGAAACTTGGGGATGATACGAGCAAATGTTGGAAGTAATGATAATGCATACGATTTGCTCTCCACTAAAGGTGATGGCCATCCCATGCAAGAGATACTTCATGTTACCTCTTTTTCTTTTAAAGGAAATGGCTTCTCTTTCTGATGATCACATTTCTCTTAAACTCTTGATCTAAGAGGTCAGTAAAGATTGTGGCATTGTGCCCGTTTTTGTAGACTGACGGTGCTTCCCCCACAAGGATCACAATGCATGTTCTGTTCTTTTCTGACAAGTAAGAAATATGTGATAGTTTGGGAGAAGCTCCTGTCCAAGTGAAAACTGTTTTCTCAACTATGATATCTAAAGATCATAAAAGTTCCTTTATTGGACCAAAAACACTGGCCAGAGTGGTCTGCAAGTGGCAGGCAAACAAAGTAAATATTCTCATCTCTGCTGATGCCTGACCTGATACTGCGTTTCCTACCCTAAGGCCGCTTACAAAAACAGAACTTTTTAAAAGTTCATCAGGTGCTTGATTGTGAAATTCTACACTATCAAGAGGTTAGCGGCTGGGCATAGAGGTGGGCTAGTATTCCGTTCTCATGAATGAGTGATGGAGTTGGCTCTCATTGGTCTCGCCCAACCTTGCTTCTCTAGCATGAAGTTCAGACTATGGCATGAGTATTTTAAAAGCAAAGAGAAAAGCAAAGTGTGCTGCTGACAGCACTTGAAAAGGTGGAAGGCAGCAGGAAAAGAGGAAGACCCAATACAAATGGACTGACTCCCCAAAGGAAGCCACAGGCTTGAGTTTACATGAGCTGAGCAGGGCAGTTGAGGACAGCACATTTTGGAGGTCACTCATTCATAGGTTGCCACAAGTCAGAAGCCACTTGACAGCACGTAACAACAGCAACATAGTGCTTAAATAACTCCCTGGACAGTTTGCAATGTAATTATGGAGGCTACACATTGCTCCCTCCACTGAATACTCAGTTTACCAGCCTTGGAAGGATGGAAGGCTGAGTCAACCTCAAGCTGGCTACCTGAGCCCATCAGGATCACACTTGCATTGTGAGTAGAGTCTTAACTGCAGTACTGCAATTTAACCACTGTGCCATGAGTCCCCTATTGTTACCACTAATAGTGGTCATGATAGCAATAGTAGCAATAGCATGAAGAGGGTGGGTTAACTCTTTCCTCCCCATTCTGTGATCCTTTTGACAGTCTCTTCTCCTCCACAAAAACAACAATTACTGTATTAGTTCCAGAAAGAAAGTTGTCATTAGTGCCGAAGGATGCTTCCCTCCCTAAGCTAATAACATCTAGAGTGGATGTTTGGCAGAACTACTGCATATGGAAAGGGAAGGGTTAGACTCTGCACTTGCACCATAGTCCTGATCCTGCTCGACATCCTCTCCCCACAAAATAAAAATAAAAATGGGCTCATTCAATATATTAATGTGTTTCATGTAACCTCTGCTTTGGCCCTTATATGGACAAGGGATAAGTTTTCAAGCACCAAGAAATGGGAAGCAATTAATTACAGTAACAAAGAGTCACTTGTGACCAGTGACATTCTGGTGGATAATGGAGTTCTGCTTCAAAAGCATTTGCTATTTTGGTGTAATGAATAATATATTATTTTTAAAATAATATATTCTAAACATTTTTAAAGAATTTAAAATACATTTAAAAATTATTTTAAAATGTGTTTATAGGGATTTGTAGATGTTACTCATGGAAAGAGGGGACAGAGGGAAGGGGAGAAACACTGCCCAACAAAGGCAATATTAATTGCACTGATCAGTCTGATAGCATGCCTTTCAGACACTCTGTTCCAACCTGGCTGTTTCCAAAAATGTTGGACTGTAACTCCCACCGTTCTCAGTGAGCAACTGGATTGTGGAATTTGCACATGTCTGTGAAGTGCCAAGTTGGGAAAGGTAATTTAGATTCCAGCATGACTACTTCTGAAAGCTTCAATACTACATCACCACCTGATTTGCTCTGTTGGTTCTCTGGTTTCTATCACTAATGCTGATGATTCACAGATGGTAACTTAATATTTCCCTACCCAACATCAATGTAAACAGACTAGATTTTCAAGATCAGTAATATTTAAGAGACATGTGAAGCCTTCCCTAAAACCATTATTTTTAGACAGGCCGTGACAAAATTAATTGGACAGTTTTTGACCTTGTGGGCTTATTTGATGTCTTTTTAAAGGTGTTTTTAACAGTTCCGACTAATTCTTTTAATATTGTGTATATTCAATTGTTTTTCAGTGTCATCATTAATTGTCATTTTAGTTGGTTTGTTGGCGCTTTTTTAACCACTTGTGAGCCACCTTGGGTCCCTTAATCAGGAGAAAGGCAGCACAGAAATGCAAATAAACAAACAAACCCATTTCCTATTAATGTTCCAGCCACTGCATGTTCCAACCCTATGTATACAAACTCGTCCATCTTTCTCGTATTTCAGGTGATATCCAAGCAAGGATAACAGCTGGAGCAACACTGGGGAAGAAACTAGATAAGATGTTCAACTTGTATGCAGAGGCAGGTAGCCTGTTTCTCTTCCAACAAGGTGAGGTCATCAGAGATAGGCACCTGGGGAATCAAGCCTGACAACTAAATGTGTGTTTATCTTCCAGTGACCAATCACAAAGCTCAGTGGAAGGCAAGACTCATTAAAAGCCCTTGCAAACAAACATATGTCTTTCAGCGCTTAAGGAAGTACAGCATTCTAGTTTGACCCTGTGCTGAACTTTAAATGCATGGACTGAACAAAGGATGGAATCCCTTTTAAGGCCGACTTTGTGGTGTTGGCAGCAAAGCGATTATGCCTTCCGGCATGCACACAGTGCTGCCCGCTAGCGTACTTCCAAGAGGTTGGAGGATTTTGCCATCCGTGTCCAAAACTGTGAGCAGATTCAACTCTTGGGGACCCCTTTAAGATGATCCTTCAGTGCTACAACCACTCCAGTGTGGTTTCCTGTTTCATGTTGATTCACTGCTTACATAGCAGTATACCAGTGAGATATGCCGAGACTTGAGTTCTCATTAATTAATACCTGGGGATGGTGGCCATCTTTGGAAAGTTCCGTTTACCTTATTTTTGCCTGTTTTGGTTCATTTCTTCTGCCTCACAGAGGCTGGCCAGAATGAGTGGTGAATGTCTCTCTCTTCAGAAGAAAAACAGTTCTCAAGGCCATCCCAAAGATATCCCAATCCCATGGGTAGGGCCAGCCTGGAAGACTCCCACTCCTTTGAACGGTGGACTCTGGATGTGAGCCTAGACCCAGCACTGCCCAATGGCACCTATGGCCCAAAGCCCTTCTTATCAACTCACTCCCTGGTGAGATTATACAACCCTAGCTATTGCTACAATATAAGGCCTTGATAATCTGTAGGATGCACCACTGAGGTGTCCTCTGTGGCTACTTCCAGATGGAAGATTTGGTGGACTTCGCCACCTTACATGGGGCTGCCATGACTGTCCAGAGACTTCCGCTGTTTCCAGATGAGGCACTGGCAGCCCATCTGTTGGTGGCCCTAGGGCTTGGAAATGTTAGTTTTTTGGACAACAGCTCTCAGGCTTCCCCCCACCCACTTGAGCATGGAAGAGCTGTAATTCAAAAAGCAATATTTCCAGGCTCTAAGCAGAAGTTATCTGAAAAGGAACAGATACTCATTGCACTGCCTTCTAATTAACTTCAACACATCATTTAAAACCCTAGTTTTGAGGAATGCCGGATCCTGAAGTGCTGGTACAGATCTGAATCAGCCACCTCTTCAGCTGAAAAGATTTCTGCTGACGTTTCCTCCCCTACATCATTTAAAACCCTAGTTTTGAGGAATGTCGGATCCTGAAGCTCTGGTCCAAATACTAGAGATCTGAATCAGCCACCTCTCCAGCTGAAAAGATTTCTGCTGATGTTTCCTCCCCTCCTTGCAAAACATATCTTCATAGCCATATGGCCTAAGATATGCTGGCACCCTGTGGTCCAAGCAGTGCAGGAGATTCATCCCGCTGCTACAGATTGGGGCACCTCCTCCTTGGACTACAGGCCATTGCCGGTTAGCAACCTATTTTTAAGTGGGGTGCGGTTGCTGTTTTTTTAAAAAAAATCCCACTGGTTTCCAAGCCTGATGCCCCATTCTGTATTCCTGCAGAGCTGGGTAATAAGAGCCAATATTTTACAACGAATGAAACCTCATGAGATATTATTTCTAGGGCTCTTTAGTTCCTCATTTGAATTCTCAAGTGAAAGACGCCAGTGCTACAACTCCCTGGTAACTTCCTTATAGGAGGGTTTATTTATAATTATGCACAGCAACAGTTTAGCAGCTTTTAGGGCAGGGCCTGAAATATTTCCTGCCTAAAACAAACAACAGCCTGCCCCAGTTTCAACAGAATTCACAGTTAAAACAATGCACTCTCTGGAGACTAAAAAGCATGTTTTGAGGAGAAATTATCTCAAATGTCATCGAGACCTCAGAAAAAGAGGAAAGTTGATGGACTCTGTAGAGACAGTAAAGCCATGTATTATGCTGTAGTCCTCTCCAACAGCCCATTTTCTCCTTGTACATATGATTTTGGGAGAGGAGATGCTCTACTTCAAAGTTATTTCTATTCCTACCGATGCTCTTACCTTGTGTTTACTCTCAGGGTTAAGGTTGCCATGTCTCAGGGTCCCGGTTCAAGTCTCAGGGAACAGTTTTATTTCTCCAGAACTCCAAGAAGGGAAACAAATGTCAGAGCAAGCAATGCTGGAGGACGTTGGCTTTTACGCTTGGGCACCCATGCCCACCCATTGCCAGCTGGCATCAGAGCTCACTGATTCAGGCTGAAAGGGTCTGTGCATGTCCCTTCAACTACCATGACAGATCCCATCTGGCTTTTTGACACACTGGTGTTGGGCTCATTACACCCTTTGGAGTAAAGCAGGGAGTGAAGCACTGGCACCGCAAATCACCAGCCCTCCCATGGCACAAGCCCTGGTAGTAGCAGCATAGACCTGAAATAAAGGAAACTTCCACAGCTCTCAACCCTTGTCCAACTCAGTGTCCTCACATTGGACTTGCCCCTGGTGTCAGATTTGAGCCCAGATATCTCAGAGAACAGGAGGGTGCTGGCTGCAGAATAATTCCTTCAAGCAGGTCTTTTCAGCTGTTTTGATGTTTATGGTTGTGAGTCTTTTACTGGTGTTACAGTTTAATTCACTTTTAGTTATCTTATTTATTTTATTTTATTTATTTATTTGATTTGTATCCTGCCCATCTGGTCTATACGACCACTCTAGGCGGCTGTTGCCTTAAGTGTTTTTTGTTGTTGTTTTTTAAAAATGGGAAAGTGGGTCAAAAGAAATACTAAAAGTAATAACAGAACTTGGGACTTTCTGTATGCTTTAACCATGAGCTACACCAGGCGCTTTACTGCCAGGCTCCTTTCCATAGGTTCAGCCCTAAGGGAAAACTGATTGCTCACTGGTGAGTCATCCACGCAGGCAGTCAAATTCTACATGCAATGTTACTGGGGTTTCGTGGGATTAAAATGAATACTGTTACATTGTGTGTGTGTGTGTGTGTGCGTGTGTGTGCGTGTGTGTGTGTGTGCGTGCGTGCGCGTACGCGTGTGTATGTGTGTAGAAATAGGTAGCCCAGTTTGATGCCTTCCTAGCCAGAAATGTCCTCTGTACTGCAGTGGCTTATTCTCAAGGAAAGGTGACTAAGATTATTGCAACCACCCTGAAGTTCACAACAGGAAGCTGCTCTGCAAAGGTTTCCACCATGGCCTCCTGAGGCCTGTTCTAAACATGTTGTTTGCCTTCCTAGTTTATACTCTCCGAAGTCTCCACGTGGTGACATACACCTCCTTTCCATATGCATGCATTTCCCGGTCTTATTATTTCATGATTGTTTCTTGGGGTAAACATACAGTTTTGAAAACGAATACAACATGTTGTACAAACATGTGATAGTAGGTATGGAAAGATGATCAAAACTGGGAGAGGAACCCTGAGAAGAAAGGAAAGAAGGAGATGCAGAGGAAGAGGGAGACTGGCTTATTAACAATCAACAATAAAGCTTTCACCTGGCTGAAAAAATGGGGCAGAGGCTGGAATTGTTGTTTGGGGAACTCAAACTTCCAGAATCTTAGGATTCCTACTCACCCTGGCCACGTGGGAGATTCTGGGAACTGTAGTCCAGAGAGTAGCACACAAGGAGTTTACCTATTCTTCGAGGTCAGAACAAATGGAGAAACCAACAGCTAATGCTTTTATCTTTGTGTTGTCACCTTAGCACCTTGGACTATGTCAAAGGTAATAAAGTTAATAGCTTGATGTACACAACAAATGCCTAGCCTAGTCTGAGTCTATTGTTTTGGGCAGTGACAGCAGATATGGGGGTGGGGGGAATTGGCACAAGGTTAACACTGTTACAAACGGAGTACATCCCATGCAAACATATTTTTGCATATGAAAAGTAATACCGCATCAGGTGTCCCTCGGGGCCAGCAGAGTCACCTTATGTAGCCTGTGTACCTGCTAAAGCCAGCAGGGGCAAGCCACTGTAAAGCAGATATGTGTTTATGTGTACATGTATATGTACATGTGCACCTTAAGAGGGCCTGTCCGACACCGCATTTGCCCTAAACAGGATCACCACGGCAAAACAAATATTGCTATAGGTAAAAAGGGGTAAATTAACTGGGAAGGAAGGCAGTACAAGACAGTAGAGAAATCAGGATCTGCAGTGGGCTGGGGGGCAAAGGAATAAACAATGGGGGGCAGGCGAGGAGCTGTCCAGCCCTTCCCGTAGCTCTGCATACTCATAGCAGATGCAAGGCAGGGATAAGCCAAAATGATAAACTGCAGAAATAATTGCTAGCTTTTAAGTTCATTTGGGATCCAACCAGATGTTTGGCAAAAACATTCAGGGAGGGCATGATCTGTATGAGGAAAATGGTAAGCAGGAGGGCTTACTCCTTCCTTCAACTCAGCTGGGCCTGTTTTGCTGAAATCCTCACCTCCTCACTTATCCTGGCCATTTTTTTTTCTTGTGACATAAAAATCATGTTTAGCTCTCTGGTGAAGGTGGGGAACAGGCAGGGCTTTTCATGCAAGGGAATCAGTGTACTAGGACAGAGGGTTCCAAACTTGGTGCACCCAATGTTCTCAGACTCCAAATCCCATTATCCCTGGCTATGCTACCTGTGGCTTCTGAGAAGTGCAGTGCAAGAACACTTAAGGCCCCATGTTTGTGCCAACAATACGAACGGCTGCTCTCCTTCCCCTATTAGACGATCCTTCTCCTAGCCATCTTGCACCTTTAGGTCCCCTGTCCAGCCCAGCCTTCTCGCCTTAACTTCTCACAACTAATATGGTGGCCTGATACCCAGTGTGGTGTAGTGGATACAGTGATGGATTAGGACTGAGGTGGCCCAGGTTCAAATCCCCACTCACCCATGGAAGCTCACTGGGGTATTGGAACTGGTAAAACCACTCTTTAAATATCTCATTTACCTTGAAAGTCCTGTTAGGGTCTCTACAAGTCGGTTCTAACTTGATGGCACATAACAAC